TTTCCTTTAATTTAAAGCTACTTCAGAAGTGTTTAGATGTTCAAGTGACTTGGATTTGGGAGGTGGGTAGCTAGTGTTACTGACACATCATGGTAAGAATGTACTGACTATGTGCCGTCTTCTTTTTGTTATTCATGAAATTTTCCTCTTCCCAGAGGCAGGAGAACTTTTGTAGGGTAGAGGTTTCCATCAAGGGTACCCATTCCTTTTTATTATTTTTTCAGACAGGGTCTCACTATGTAACCCTGATTGACCTGGAACTCGCTGTGTAGACCAGGCCTCAAAGTTACAGAGATCCACCTTTTTTGACTCCTGAGTACTGGGATTAAAGGTGTGAGGCCATCATACCTGGCCATAATTTTTTCTTTAAAAAATTTTTTTTTTCTTTTGGTCTTTTTGAGACAGGGTCTTCTTGTAGCTCCAGCTGGCCTGGAACTCGCTCTGTAGACCAGACTGGTGTCGAACTCATAGGGATCCACCTGCCTCTACCTCCCAAGTGCTGGGATTAAAGGCATGCGCCACCATGCCTGGCACACAAATTGCATGTTTAATGTCTCCCTTCTATCATTTGGTTAGTCATAACAGCTCAAGTTCTTTAACAAGAACCTTTCAGAAGAACTTAATTTGTAATGAAGGATAAAGCATAAAAAGCAGAGCTTTTGCTCTGCATGTAGTGCTCTGGTGAATGCCTTGGAAGGAGCAAAAGAGGGGCTCAGTGTGCTACTCCATAAATGGGGCCATGTTGGGGATACATTTGTGATTCTCTCTGTTGCCTTTGCATGCATGTAGTTTTCTGGAGTGTGGGTCTTTCCTTATTTCCACATGCTTCATGGTGTTGAAGAGTCCAGGCTCTGGAGTCACTGCTTGGATTGAATCCTGTTGAATACTGTTTTATTTCTACTGTTTTATTAGCTGTATAATTCTGGGCAAGTTACAGAATTTGTGTGTCCTGGTTTACTCACCCATTAAATTGGAAATAGCATCTACTTGTATACATGGTTGTAGAAGCTAAGTGAAAATTAATGTTTCTAAGTGCTTAGTATAAGCTGTGATTCTCTCATTGAGCAGGTGGATAGCCTGCTTCATTTGTCTATGATGTATCAGTTCACACAAATAAAGAATAAATTTCAACTGCTTAACATTGAAAAGATTCTTAATGTTAACTCCTTGAATTTTTTGTTATTTGTTTTATTTTTGACATCCAGTCTCCCTATAGCCTCAGCTAGAGTCCGGAACTCACTGTGTAGACCATGCTGGCCTTGAACTCGCAGAGATCTGCCTGCTTCTTCCTCTGCCTCCTGAGTGCTGGGATTAAAGGCGTGTACCACCACATCCAGCTCTTTTGAATTTTTTAAATTGTTAAATATATAAATCTATTTAGTGACCACAGGCATTGTTATTTCTTAAATGATGATTTGTTCCTTAAAAGGTTGCCATTTACTGATGCTTCGTAATTCATGTGTTCTTTAAAGAGTTCATGTGGTCTAGAGTTTAGCTTTTATTAAACCTGTGATATTAGAATTTGGATTAATGTTTCCCAGAAGATTTTAATCTTTTAAAAATTAATTAATTTGTGTGTGCGCACGCGTGTGCATGTGCGCACTTGCTTGCCATGGCTCTTGTGTGGAAGTTAGAGACTGACTTGCAGGAGTCCGCTCTCTCCTCCCACTAAGGTCATTAGACTTGCCAGCAAGTGCCTTTACCCCACTGAGCAATCTCTCCAACCCTAAAGATTTTAATCTCTAATGTTATGTTAATAAACTTTTTCTTGTTCCCTTTGTAGCTTCAAAACTCACATTTACTTTGAGGTATGGGGACTGATTTACAACTCAGAATAGTTCAATAATTAACCTTAACGGTCCTGTGACATAATCAGATATTGGTTAAAACTATACACTCATAAGCAGGTGTTTCGTTCATAAGCAAGTGTTTTGTTTTTGCTTACTGTTTTTTTTAATATTTTGTTATTTTTATTTTACGTGTATGCGTGTATTGCCTGCATGTAGGTAAGTGCACCCGTGTTGTGCAATGCTGGCGGAAGACAGAAGCGGTTATCAGATCCCCTGGAACTGGAGTTAGGACATTTGTTAGCTGCCATGTGGGTGCTGGAATTCGAACCCGAGTCTTCTGCAAGAGCACTGTTCTTAACCACTAAGCCATCTCTCCAGCTTACTGTTTTTAAAAACCTTAACCAAGCAGTACTTAAAGAGGAAGCCTGATCCAACTGCAGTTAGTTGTCATGGTCTAAGGCGAATATCTTAAAACTGACAAAATGTAGGAGTACTGAATAAGATGTGTATTTTGCCTTAATTAAATCCTAAGTATTTGATACATGAGACCTTTGGGGATCTTCCCAGGTGATGAACTGGGGGACCCACTGGTTAATCGTTCCTAAATTTACAACTTGTTTTTGCTGAGAGTGGCAGAGGTGCCATATGCTCTCTCAGTATTGATTACTTCCTATTTCCTAATGTAGAGAAGTCCCTTGTTTTCAAGTGTCTCATCCTTTCATCTATGCTCACCCTGGTAGTGTTTGGAGAGGAATTGACTAACATTCTGGGTAGCAAGGCTGGTGCTTGGATTGTGGGGTGTGAGGAGGGTAGGGGGCTGTGAATCCTTTGTGCATGAGGCTGGTCCTTACTCCTCCTGGGATGCCTGGATGTAAGGTATATGTGGGTGGGTGGTGTGCTGTTGTATTCCCCTCCAGGGATCAGGTAGGCCACGCTATGAAGCTGCTGTCCAGTGTTGCTGAAAAACTGGCCCCCGGGGATGATTGTGAGTTCCTTACCTAAACACTGAAGCCCTTCTTGAGTAGCACAAAGGGAATGGGGGAATGCAGTTAGAGACCCAAGTATTGTGGTCAGCTCTATAACTCATATTCATGAGGTCTCAATGATCAGCTCAAAATTGTTTTTTAAATGGAGGAGAATAAGGCCACTTGCTTATCTTTAAGGATATCCTGAGCATTAATGAGCTAGTTGCCCTGGATGGAGCAGCAGAGTCTACCCTGGTCATAATTTTCATTGTCTTTCAAGGGAAGCTACAGCCAGGGGAATAAAATAGAAAGAAGATGGGAGAGGAAGTGAGCTGTCCACAGCCGAGTCACCATATTTCAGTCCAGTGTAGATCACATTCTTTTCTAGTGGAGGATTTTAACCTCAAATTTCTGTGTAGGTTTTAAAAATAACACCAAGCCAGATGTCTGACTTGCAGTTTGCTTACTTTTTTGTGGTGTTGAGGATTAAATGGATGGTCTCATAATGGCAAGGAAAGCACTCTACCAACTGAGCTATATCCTCAGCAAAATTTGTTATAGTATGGAATTCAGATTTGTAGTACTTTTTCCTTTTGTTTGTGTGTGGGGAAGTGTACGTGTGAGTGTATGTGCATGCTTGTGCCAGGAAATGTGTATGGAAGTCAAAGGACAACTTTTGGAAGCCGGTTCTCTCCTACTCTGTGGTTCTGGAGATTGACCTCAGGTTGTCAGGCTTGGCGGCAGGTTCTTTTACCCGCTGAGCTGTCTTCCTGCACACCCTCTTCCCCCTTTTGAGACAGGGTTTCCTGTAGCCCTTGTTGGCCTCACACTTGATACATAGCTGAGGATGATTGTGGCTCTTGAACCTCCTGCTTCTAATTTTCAGTGCTGAATTACAGGCTTGAGCCACCACTTCTGGTTTTATGCGGTGTTGGGGATCTAAACAAGGACCTTGTGCATGCTGGGCAAGTACCCTATCAACTGAGGTACATTTACAGTACCTGACCTGATGTTTGTTTGCAAAGCAAATAGATGTCTTTTCTTAGAATTTAAATTTTTTTTTAAAAAATTACACTTATTTATTTATTTTTTTGATGTGTGGGGGTGTATGCACGGCAGAGTGAATGTGTGGCGGTCAGAGGATAACTTGCAGAAGTTGGTTTCTTTTTTTTTTTCATTCTCTGACATGGGTTCCAGGGATCAAATGACTCAGGTCATCAGGCTTGTTGGCAAGTGCCTTTATCTGCCTTACTACTTTGCTGACCTTCTGAGAACATTTTAGTAAAGATGTTGGTTTTTCTCCCAGTGTTAAGGAAGAACATGGAGCAAAAGAGTGTGACTCAAAGTGGAATTTTTTATTTTCCACTCCCAGTATGCTCTTTTTGTGTTTTTGTTAATGTGGTGCAGAAGTGTGCGTGTGCATGCATGCATGTGGAGGCCAAAGGTCAGCCTTGAGTGTGTTCCTCAGAAGCTGTTTGCTTTGTGTTCTAAAAATTCTCCCTGGGACCTGGGACTCAGTGATTAGACTAGGCTGGCTGGCTAGTGATCCTCCTGCTTCTGCCTCCCTCTGGGATTACAAACGTGCATCATCGTGCCCGACTTTTCCATGGGTGCTAGGGGTTGAACTCAGGTCCTTGTGCTTGCCCCACAACCACTCTGAGTCACCTCCCCAGCCTTGGTATACTTCTTGGTGGTGGTGTTTCTTTTTTTTTGGTTTTCCGAGTTTCTTTGATGGAGAAACTTCATGGAGATCAAACCTAAACAAAATAAAAACCATAAACACACATAGTAATTGCTTTAAATACTAAGGATGTCAGCATGAGATTAAAATGAATAGACTGACATTTCTGTTTTGGAAATTTTTATTAAAACTACTTTAAAACAATGGTGAAAATTTCTGGTATCACTTTATAAGGGGAAGTTTGACCTCTTGGTGTTTTTTCATTTAAGGATTACTGACATTGGAATGTTTGGGGTTAAAATTTGCTTCAACCTTCAGGTGGCTCTGGGGATTTTAGTTAGTCTTTGGTTGTAGAATACCAAATGCAGTCTGTTGTGCTGGACTGTGGTAGTTTTCAGACACGAGGTCTCTGAAGCAGATACGGTGTCTCCTGCCTGTGTGTAATGTGAACTAGAACACTATTGTCTTATTCTTTTGAGTTTGCTTTTGAAGTAACTTTCACAGAGAATTCCTGTTGCCTAGAAATTGATGACAGACTTACACCATTTCCTTTTTTTTTCTTAGACGTTCCAACCTCAGAGCAGCCTGAACTGTTCCTAAAGAAACTTCAGCAGTGCTGTGTCATTTTTGACTTCATGGACACGCTATCTGATCTTAAAATGAAAGAATACAAGCGCTCCACTCTTAATGAACTGGTGGACTACATTACAATAAGCAGAGGCTGTCTGACAGAGCAGACTTACCCTGAAGTAGTTAGAATGGTGAGTTTCTTTTTTCCGCCGCTGACACTTTTAAGCATCTTCCATAGGGACTCACAGGTGTATTGATTGCAGTGAGGTCACTGAGGTCACCTCCACAAACAAAAGTCAACCTTCCGAGAGCTAAGTGCAAGTAGTCAGCACAATACTAGGATTTGAAGAGCACAGTTTCATGAGGATGAAATCCAGAACTTCTCACCTACAACAGCATTGAAAGAATCAGTGACTTCCAATTCGAGGCCAAGGCGGCCAGGGTGTCATTGGATTTCTGACTTCGGAAAGAGGAAAGACACAGGAGAATCAACAAAAGTTGTAGATCTGTGTTTGAAAATATTCAAGCCTGTTGGGTGTCTTAACTGTTTTTTCTTCCTTATTCATTGTGTATTAGAAATGGCTTTATACTTAATAAAATTATGATTTATAGAGACTAGTTAAGGCCTCTGTTGGCTTTATAGCTAATCTTTCTCTTTATAATTTCCTTGGAATAAGGAGTGATGCCTTTCATGATGTTAGAACAATGTCTGACACTTTGTGTGGTCATTAGGAATTACGGGAAGAGTCGTTACTTGTGTAAAAGTAATTATCTTCTTATTGTGTCAACAATTACATTAGCTTTTCAAAAGTTGAACCAAAATTTGACTGCTAGATTTCCATTGTCTGGTTGCCATCCTTAGCATCCTAGAAGATCATGGATCTAGAAGCTGTTATTTTGGGGGTGGGTAGGAGAAGGCTGATCTCTTGATTCATGTGATGCAGCTACAGAGACTCAGAAGGGACTGAGTGTTGTTGGGAAGCCCACTGAAGGCGCAGGCACGTTGCATGCACTCTAATCCGATTTTACTACTTGGCTCACACCATTTATGTTTAACATATGCAGGACAGAGACACTTGTGATGGAGTAGATGTGGTTAAAAATGCTAGTTCAATTCTGAGAAGGGATTTAAATGATCAAAGCAATTGATGTTTGACAGCCATAGGTAGATCTGAAAAATATATATATGGCATTCTTTTGAAATACATATATATTGGATATGTTATTGATTTACAGGAATGCAATGTCAGATGTCTTGTAAGTTAACTGCTACTGTTGTTGCTTCTGAGTACTGCTTCTCAACTAAGCAGCTTTGCTTTATAGAGGACATTTATTAATGTCAGAGACATTTTTGGTAGTTAACACTGGTATGGGAAGAAAGCACTTCAACATCTAGTAGGTTGAGCTAGGGACGGGACACTAAACATTCTAAAGAGCACAAGAAATTGCTACAAGAAAATGTTGGAAGATCCTGCTTCTGAGTTTGCATCCTTTCCAAATCTTACAACCAAACACCCAGGTCTTCTCCAGCCTACCTGCCTTCTGCAGAGGATGCTGCTTGGTTTTAGCTTACCCGTGTCTTTAGCCAGAGCTGTCCACTGCTTATAACTTTCTTCTATGTCTTTTTGTGGATAGTCATAAACATACAAGCATGTGCAAGTGTATAATTTATTTTTGTAAACACTAATGGAGTTCTGTGTACTGCCTGTACCTTCCTTTTTCACTAGCAGTGCAGCAGTGCACATAGAGCTTTCTTGTTTTACAGCCATCTGATATTTCATTGTATGAATGCATTGTATTTAACCAATACCCAAAAATGTCCTTGTAAGCCCATTAGTTTGTCTGAGAATATCTGTTTATTGATTTCTAAAGATTTTGGAGTTTTTAATGTTCACAGCAAAATCGAGAGGAAAGTACAGATATTTCCTATCTACCCCTGTTCCCACACATGTGTAGCCTCTGTTATCAACATCCTCTCGCTGAGTGACACACTTGTCATAATTGATGGATTTGCATGGGCACCATAGTCACCCAGAATCTATAGTTTACAGTAGGCTTCACTGCTCTCTTTTTGATCTTCTCACTGATCTTTTTTGTTCTTGTTGCTTTAAAAAAATATTTTATTATCTTTATGTGTATGAGTGTTTTGCCTATGTGTATTAAGCACATCACATATGTGCAATGCTTGCAGAAGCCAGAAAGGACGTGAAAGGACATTAGATCCCCTGGAATTGCAGTTATGGATGGTTGTTAGCCACTTATGTGGGTGCTGAGATTTGAACCTGGTTTCTTTGCAAGAGCAGCTGGTACTTTAACTGCTGAGCCATCTCTCCAGCCCCCAGAACCACTGACCTCTTTTTCTTTAAAAATTTTAAAGAATTTATTTTTATTTTATGTGTAGGCATGGTTTGCTTATATATATGTAAGTGCACCTGTGTTGTATAGTGCTCACAAAGGCCAGAAGAGGACCTGGGATCCCCTGGAACTGGAGTTATGGATGGTTGTGAGTGGCCATGTGGGTGCTGGGACTCGAACTCGGGTCCTCTGCAAGAGCAGCCAGTGCTTTAACTGCTGAGCCATCTCTCCAGCCCCAGCTTATTCTTTTTAATGCTGAATAATTCTACTGTGTGTGTTACTGCTTTTCCATCTACCTATGAAATATCTTGGTTGGTTGGTTCCAAATTTTATCAGTTATGAGTAAAGATCCTGTGATGATCCCAGTGTACATTTTTGTGGGGCATATCTTTTCAGGTCCTTTGAGTAGAGCAAGGACTGCAATTCCTTGGTCTTATGATAAGTATTTTGTAAGTAATTGACAAAACTGGCTTCCAGAGCGACTGAGCCAGTTGACATTTCCACCAGAAACAAGAGCTCCCGTTCCTCCACACACTCACTGGTACTTGATTTTAAGTTGTATTTCATATAATTTTTTGCTTTATTTGCTTTTATTTTATATGTGTGAGTGTTTTGCTTGCCATGTGTGTGCACAATGCATGCAGTGCTTGTGAAGGCCAGAAGAGGGTGTCCAATGCCCTGGAACTGTGGTTGGGGACAGTTGCTAGCCAGAGGTTTCCTTCTTGCTTCAGTTCCTCTGCTTCTTGGCAGTCTGCTCCCCTTTTTAAGGAATTTGCTGCTCTCCACACATTTACCTGATTTTTCTAATTAAGCTATAGGTACTCCTAGAGAAGAACTGCCTTTATGTCTCTGAAGGCTCTGGAATGCCTCCTAGCTCAATCCTCGCTGACATTTGCTGAATAAATTCCTTCTTAAAATGCAGATTTCAGGCTCTCAAGTTATGGTGAAGATATTTGCTATCTTTAGATTATATTGAGTCATTAAACCTAGTATTTAGCATAATGCAAAAATATTTTATTTTTGTGAACCAGCTTGATTCTAAATCAACTTTAGTCTCCCGAGAAAGACTATTGTGTCATACCCTTCATCTCCCCCACCCCGTAGACATTTATATTATCTTAAGATGTACTTGAGGTCTGCCTCAGGATGTCTGAATCTGTAGCATGCATGCTGTGCTAGGGTGCTCAAAAATTAACTTTGTGGATGGCACTGTTGAGTTCTCAGATGCATATTCTTTTTTTTTTTTTAAATATGTGATGACTTGTAAAACTGTTAGCTACTCACTTGATATGGTACTTACATGATCTGGGCTATTTACAGAGAAGCAGGTCTTATGATAGAATAGAAAGTGAACCCATCTGGGTTCAGGGGCCATCTATGGCCAAACTTCTTACTTCATCACTGTGAGTTATTTTATCTTTGGGGCCCTCAGTTTTCATGTGAGGGTCACCTAAGTAAAGGACTGTGCTGTGTACACACAGTGTTCTCACCACTTCAGCATACATGTATAGCCTAGCACTGCTTACTGTTCTGCAAGAAAGCTTGGTGACCCCTACTCCCTTCTCTTTGGCCACCTCCAAACGCCTTGCATGCAGAAATTCTGGCGCTTCTTACTTCCCTTTGTCATACGTCTCATTTTTGGGTAGGTGGTGGCTTGGGAGGATTAGTAATAATAATATATATGTGTACGTGTGTGTGTGTGTGTGTGTGTGTGTGTGTGTGTGTGTGTATGTATAAATCTCTTAGAACAGTCCCTAACATATGGCATATGTTTAGAAAAGAACATTGTTGTGTTTTGATTATTTTGCTATTGGATACTTGATTTTACTGTTATCGGTGAAGCCATCATCCCTGTTTGTAGAGTTCACATGCTCTATCACATCTAGATACGTTATTTTCCGTTGTCTCAGTTTTTCTCAAATTCTGTGACTCCAAGATAATCCTGCTTGGTTATTACAGAACAAAGCTGTGTCCCTGGTGGATGAGGAAATGGCATTATTTTAATGAAATGCTAATGAAGTGATAGCTGGGTAATGAGTCAGGATGATGTGGCCTGATGTCAGCATTAACACCAAAAGCTGATCCAACTTGATGGGACCTGTACTTAGAGAGTTGGTTTTCCTCTGAAGTGAGAGATGAAAGTAGTCTATGAGTTGGTGAAGCCATTTTTAACATTTAAGTGAAGTCTTGGTACCACCTACAGATTACTAGAGTTCAAGAAAAACACTTTATATGTAAACACAATAGTATAAAATAGCATGTGCTTTATCTGCAGAACAGAGTGGTGATAGTGGAATGAGCCCCAGGGAGAGACTGTGGAAGCCATTGTCCTCATTCTCATCTTCTGCTTAACTAGAGATGAGACTTTGGATAACTAATTTCTCCTCCAAACCCCAGTTTCTCCTGTTGTAAATGAAAGGAGTTGATGATCTCTTAGATTCTTCCAGTTCTAAAAACCACTAACTCTTTTGCTCAAATCGTTTAGAATGGGGCCTGTGTTTCTCAAAGTTTACTGATCACTGGCCAAAGTAGTTGCATGGGTAAGTGGTTTGTTTCTTGTGTTTTGTGGTATCTTCTCTATGGAAAAAGGATCAGGACTTTGGGTTGTTTTAGGCTTTGCTGCATTCTACTCTGACCATCTCTAGGGCCAAGCTTTTGTCTCTAAGGCAGTTTATTTTAACCACATTGTGCTAATGCTGCCTGTTTGGTTCTGATGCCAAGCGTTAATTTGAAATATTTCTTAGATTTTTAAGTCTTTCAAGTAATTTCTTTTTGTTGTCGTTTTGAGACAGTCTCGCTATATAGCCCAGATTGGTCTGGAGCTCACTGTGTGCAT